GGGATTCTTTCATGGACAATTATGTGGAAGCTAAGCTGGTGGAATATCTATCTCTATTTTTTTTACTTTCAGTGAATCTTTTTTCCTCTGCAGTGTTAGTGTAATAATATTTTGGTTGAGGGCTTATCGAATCAAATATCATGAATAATGTTTATTCACCTGTCATATTTTAGCAAAACATGAAATTTTTTTGGTTTAAAAAATAAATTGATCCCCCTTCCTTTTACCTGGGATTGATTGAGGCGTATTGTCTTATACATAGATGGTGGGTCAATATTAAATTGTGATCCCATGGGTGATCCCATTAAAGAAAGGAGAGGTACCTCCAAACGGATGTTGGGTATGGCAGAGTATGTAACACTGAATTGCAAAGCAGATTTGGTGAAATATCCTATGTTTGTACATTCTCTTAACTTACATTGAAAATTATTTTTTTCATAACAAATAAAAGATGGAACATATTTGAATCAGTGAAAATGAAAACACACCGACTAGGAAAAATGAAATTGTTCAAAAAATACAGAAAACTGCGGAGTAGGTGAAGAAGTTGGTGTAAGAAAAAGCTTTTTGGTGCCAAAAGACAAGTACCTTGGGACATTTTAAAGGTCCACGTTTAGAAAGATGCGTTATCTTCAATGACCCTTATAAAAATTGGGCATCTTTAACAAAAATTGGTCATCTTTAATGAAAATTGGGCCCGTATGGGGGACTGATGTCACAGGTTTAGCAATCCTGCGGACCCCAGCTGGTAACCCCTGCCTCATGGGGTAGTGGAGATGGTCACCGGCTTCAAGGCGTATGAACCACCCATTGGAAGGGCAGACAGGGCTCTCAGCTGTAGTGGAAGCAACCTGTCTAGGAGAGGAAACTCCGAAATCAAACCCCGGTCCTCCAGGTTGGGGGTTGAGTCATCGGGCTAACTCCCCGATACTCGGAAAAAGGAATACTGTTAAAAGACCCAATAACAATTGCCTCGGTACAAATGGAAATAAACGGATTTATCGGAAAAAATTACGTAAACGGATGATGGTTTTTGGAACATGGAACGTACAAGGAATTTCTACGAAAATGACGGAAGTGGTATCGGAGATAGGGAGTCACGGATTTGATGTCACGGTATTAACAGAAACGAAGAAGAAAGGACAAGGCTCTGTAAGTGTAAAGGAATACGATTTGTTTTATAGTGGCGTGGAAAAAGATCAGCGAGCTCAACAGGGTGTTGCAATTCTTATTCGCAAGAGCCTACGGAAGTGCATCACTACATGGGAAGCTGTTAACCCCCGAATGATAAAGATGAATATGACAGTGTTTGGCCATAAAATCACCATTTTGGGAGTGTATGGAGTCAACGATGATTCCACTGTCGCAGTGAAGGACCAATTTTTCGAAGAATTGAACGAGGAAATTGGTAAGATTGGATCCAGGAGGGAAATCATTGTGTTGGGAGATCTCAATGGTAGAATAGGACGTCAAATTAAAAGTAAGATCGTCGGCCCTTTCGGAGAGGCGGCACTAAATGATAACGGAGCCCGTATCATTGACGTATGTGAGCAAAGGGACATGAAGGTGCTCAATGGGTTCTACCAACACAAGGATATCCATAAATTTACTTGGGTTCAGTCTACTCGCGGATTGAAATCAATCATTGATTATGTGGTTGTCAGACAAGACACGGGAATGAAGATTCAGCAAGTTAGAGTGTGGAGAGGTCTTTCCTGCGGCAGTGATCATTATTTCCTCGGGGCAAAAATAGCTTTCCCAGTGAAAGGGAGCCAGGAGACCAGGCAAGCACAGGAAGAAGTTCACCAACAAAAAGATCGTGTCAAGCTTGTAAACTATAACATTGACAGCTTGCAGCATCCAAGTGTAAGGGCTTTATATGGAAAGCGCTTGGATGAGAAGTTGGGCGAATCAAGGGACGGTGATACCGAACAGCAGTATCAGTTCCTGAAGGATTGCATTCACTCGGCAGCAATGGAAGCTCTTGGTGTCGCTGATGATAGGAAAGTTAGCGAAAAACCTTACTGGTGGGACGAAGAAATTGAGAAGGAGATTCAGGAGAAACGGAAAAAATATCATCAGTTCCTTTCCTCTAAAAAAACAGAAGACAAAGAGGCGTATAAAAAAGCTCAGACGCAGGTACGAAGGCTCATAACCAAGAAAAAGAACGAATCTTGGGAGAGGAGCTGTAACAAAATAGACACGTACATAGGAGGAAGGAAAAGCACTGAGAGCTGGAAGTTGCTGAAAGGGCTGCGAAGGGACATGAAGCGTGACTTAATATCTCCGATATCCATTGATAAACTGGAGGGGTATTTTAAAAATTTACTGACAGAAAGGCGACCTGAATTTCAAGATGGAGGCGTAAGCTTGGAGTATACTAACGATAATCATAACTTGGAGATCCATATGGAGGACGTGGTAAAGGCCGTACGAGAGCTGAAGAACGATAAAGCTCCAGGTCCGGGAAATATCCCTGCTGAGTTGATCAAGTGTGGAACCTGCAAGCTGTTTCAACGGTTGAGATACCTGATGCAAGATTGCTTGGACGGTGGAAAGGTACCGACAGAATGGAAAGAGTCTTGGGTGTCACCTATATACAAGAAGAAGGGTAGAAAAGATGAGTGTGATAACTATAGAGGACTGTCGGTTGCAGGTACCCTGAGCAAAGTGTATGGAAAAATCTTGAAAGCAAAAATTGAAGAGGAGTGGAAAGAACATGAAGCGGAAGAGCAAGCAGGTTTCAGAGCCGGTCGGTCAACGATTGATCACTTATTTACCATCATCCACGTCATAGAGAAAAAGAAGGGAGTTGGCCAGGAATTACATCTAGTGTTTGTGGATCTCCAGAAAGCTTACGATAGTGTGCCATTGATGAAACTTTGGGAAGCCTTGAACAAAAGGGGTGTTAGTGGGGGACTAATTAGTGCTATTAAGGAATTTTATGGTGGGGCTTTCTCTAGGGTTAAATCGCATGGGGAGTTATCGTTGGGGTTTTTAATTACTAAAGGACTGAAACAAGGGTGTTGTTTGTCGCCAACCTTATTTAAAGTGTACCTGGAAGAAGTTTTAAAGGAATGGAAAAGATGCTGTTCGGGAATGGGCGTCCCGCTACGTGAAGATGGCACCCTTTATACTCTGTGCTTTGCTGATGATCAGGTGGTAATAGCTCAGGACGAAGAAGATGCGAATTACATGACGCGGAAGCTAGTGGAAGTATACCGAAAGTGGGGAATGGAAGTAAATGTGGTTAAGACGGAGAAGTTGGTTATCGGTGGTGATCAGCAAAGCATTGAACTGGAGGATGGCCGGAAGATCCTGGACTGTGAAGAGTATAAATATCTCGGAGTTCGGTTAACTAAGGACGGAAATTTGGATCGGGCCATTAAAGATCGGAATGTGCAAGGCAGGAAAGCTATCGCGATGCTAAATGGGGTTCTCTGGGACCAGAGTATCTCCAAGGAGACCAAAAGGAAAATTTACAACGTCATCGTGAAGAGTATCGTAACTTACGGGAGTGAGGTCTGGCAACTTAAGAAAAGAACTGAAGACATGCTTAGGGCAACCGAGATGGACTTTTGGCGAAGGTCTGCTGAGATATCGAGAAGAGAGCGTATCCGCAATGAAAGGGTACGCGAGATAATGGGTGTGGAAAAGGACATCGTGCACGATATCAGGTCCAAGCAGTTGGTCTGGTATGGACATGTGCGAAGGATGGCAGATGATCGGTTGCCCAAGCAGGTCTTCGATTGGGTTCCTCCCGGAAGGCGACGGCGTGGACGTCCTGTGAAAGGTTGGCGACAAGGGGTGGAGGAGGAGATCAGAAGGTGCCAATTGCCTGATGATCTCTGGGAGGATAGGGGGCAATGGCGATTGGGCCTCGCAGAGCGCGAGGCGGCGCTATAATCGCGACTTTATGTATGTATGTAATGAAAATTGGGCTTTTTTAAGTTCCTGAGTTGGTGTGATTTCATCTCACAAAGTCATTAAAAATAGGCTAAAATTGCATTTCAGTTTGACTGGCTTTTAATAGCAGAAACAGATCTGAGTTAAATGATCAATACTGCAACATTCTCAACTGTGCAAGACACATAGAACAGATGATAAATAGTTGTCAAGCACCATCCAGTATTTTGGAGTGTTATGATGAACTTTCTTTAGTCATTTCTGCAAACTAATATTAGACATTGATATTAAACAAACTTACCTGAAGAAGAATTCTGTCATTACTGCCATTACTTACTAATTTTCACTGATAAGAAACTGCACGAATCTGCAAGATTATAATCAGATGACTCTAATACTTTCTTAAGTATTTTTGTATATTGTTGTATTCTGACATTGTTTTGTATGATCGGTTTTAAAAGGAATTTGAATCCTCCAATTTTCCCCACAAAATGGATTTTTTTTTAAAATTTTAGCCACAGATATAAACAAAATCACATGAAATCTAGGGTCAGGAGGTATTTTTATGCGCTTTATCTATTTCTGATGACAAGAAAAGCAAAAGCTGAAAACATAGGGTTTTAGGCCTCCTCTTGAAAATATATCCTCCCTTTTAATGGCTCAAACCAAAAAATGTCTTAGAACAAAATAATCCTATTTCAGTCTGAAGAATCGATCCCTATGAGTTCTGCCATTCAACTTGAGACCGTCCTTATAATGGAGCTCTTGGAAGTCAGTCTCTTTTTCTCGAAGGATTTAAGGTAGATTAGATTAATAGGTGACCCTTACTTCTTCAGAAAACGCCTTAGTAATTCTTTTGATGAACAGGTTTGTGCAATCATTGCTATCTTTATTTCTTTGATGTGAATTGCATTTGAGTAGCAAAGCAGTCCAAAACTGTATCTCAAGTTTAAGTTCTAAAAATAAGTTTACCATGATCTCATCATGACAATATTTAGGTTATGGATCAAATCATCTATACTGTTTGCAGTAACATTCTATGAGAAATGGAAACCCATGGAAGAAGATTTTAACTCTGTGCGCAATTCTTATGAAATTGACGACGATGATGCTGTCCAAGCTATCGCAGGATACAAACCCACTGATGACTCTAGAATCTGTAAATTTTATGCTGAAAAAGGCTTCTGCTGGAAGCAAGAGAAGTGTAACAAGGAGCATTCTCTAGTTGATCCAGGTATGTATTTTTGTTACTTTGACAAATTAATGTATCTACTTTCTAGGGGAGGGGGGGCCTACAGTATAAAAAGAATTAATTCCTCCCAAAAATTATCAGACATATTATATTCCCAAAAAATAACTCTTTTTACAGAGCTTACAGAAAATGCTTTAAACCCTCTTCTAAAAGTAACCTACACAAGGTTTCATTGAACTAAAATTTGAACTCCATTTTAAGTTCTGATTGCTTGTTGACCATTTGAAATATTCAAAATTTCTCCATTGAAATGTAAGAGCTTTAGTCCTCCAGTTCTGTGGTCAGTCCATTCAAACTCCACTGAGAACTGAGATTTGTTCTTCACAACTCAGATTTTTGTGATTCAAACTTAGCACTTCAGTTTCAATTTTTCCCGAAATTTTTATCGTCATAAGATTGCCTGTCCAATCTCATAAACTGTTCCATTCTGGTCGTATCGCTTTTCTTCATTTTTAACTACTAAGGTGGTGTGTGGCCCCTAGGTATAATTTATCAAATTTCAGGTGTGAAGGTGTCCTGCCCTAGGGCGATGACTCCATTGGGTCTGTCGCACGCAAGAGATACAGCCAACACTTTTTAAGGGTAAATTTGCCAGGATATCTTCACAAAAATGTACGCCGATTGCGCGCCAAGGATAGGATTTTAGACTTTTTTTATGTGCCCCACGTGATTTTTGACCGAATTTGCCTTTGGAAAGTGTATTCAGTTGGCTGTATTTCTTGCTTGCAACAAACCCATTGGATGTAATGTATACCTTGTTGAAAAGAGCGAAAAAAATGGAAAAGTTTTGGTGCCAATTGTGAGCTTTTAGCCATCTCTCTCTCACAATGTTATTTGGTCAAAGTTTTCAGAATGTCTATTTTTTGAGCAGCCATTTTTGTATCAGTGATGGATTAGGACCTGCAGTTTTGGCCAAAAACCTCCTTTCTTTTCTCTTTTTTAGAAGATACATTCTTTGATAAAGGGTTGTATTTACCAAGAACTTAATGTTAGGATAGGGGCTGTCTTAAAAAAATCAATTTTCTCTTGGCAAACTCGATTGTGAAGAATCTTTCAAAAAACACTCTAAGAGGCAAACCTCTGAAGGGAATATTTCCAGAACTTCAAATGCTTGCCATTTAGGATCACTAATATCTAAAAATTTGCAATTTTCACGTTATACGGTCCATTTTTATGCTCTCTTCTACAAGAGCTATGTATGCAACAAAAATTTCAATTTTAAAAAAAAACAATCGGACCGAGTTCATCAGAAAGAAACCAACCCTTTTTTTGAAAAAGTTGATTGCCGAAAACTCAAAGTCGAGAAAAAAAATTAGCCTGTGTTAAGAGGGTTTAAAGTTTATTTTCTACATGGTGCCTCATGGATTAATAAAACTTCAAACCTCTTTTTCTCAGTTTCAACTTTATATGGGTTGGTTCCTTTCTGATGAATTCGGTCCCATTTGAGTCCATCAGCACCCTTTTATTGAGGGATCCCCCAGAATTTTTGAGGCATAAAAATGTGCTTCGTTCTGTTTGACCTAGGAGCACTTCCAAAATTTCAAAGGGCCTGATGCAAAAACTAGGGGGCTACGCCCCCTGGCCGCTACGCGGCCCAACCCCCTGAAGGTGCTCCGCGCCATCAATGGGCCGCTTTGCGGCCCTATTTTTACCCTCCTATCAGTGTTAGTTTTATTTTTCCCCTAAAAAAATACGATATGAGGTATACTTTAATTTTAAACTGTACTTAAAAATTCTTTAAAATTAGAAGGACGCGTTTTGGAATGACTGCTTGATGAAATATTGCAGTAAAACAGTGAACAATGATAGTCAGGTATATTAAGGTTTCATGAGTCGGGGATCGAACCCACACTGTGATCAATGCGGACGCATTTGACGTCTTAGACGACTCGGCCACCTCTCGACATGAAGCTGTGGGTGCGAATCTTGTGTAGATAAGTGTAGAGCTGATGCGCAGGCTACCCAGCTACTGCGCAACCTCCTCGACCATTGCGCATCCTCCCGCGCATAGCGGTAGCAGTACCGGAGCATTCTGTTAACTCACTCACTTTTATAACGTGATTTTAAAAAAACCTGGGTCCTTTTTCCAAAATCTGATT